GAGCATGTCCAGTTATAGTGAACCATTTTGGTTCTAGTTGCAGACCAGGTAGTACCCGAAATGTGTGATTCTGGAGTGCTTATTAGGGTGAAGGGTGCTTGGTCTCTCTCTCTCTCTCTGGGTGCCAAGTTCTCCAAACTACAAAGAAGAAGGGGAAAAAATGTCTTACAAACAGAACTTTAGCCCTGCAAATTTACCAGCTTGAAACCAAGAGTTGACCTCCAGGACTGGCACATTCAATGCAGAGTCAGACTTTGGTAAGTGCAACATTCAAGCCCCAGTACTAGTGGGAGGGACTGTGTCATTATTGTAAGAAAGCAGGACATTGGAAGAATGAATGTTGAGCTTGTCAGAAGGCAGCCACCTTACAACCTGCTAGTTATGGGAATCCTTGAGCTCTTCTACACTCGCCTAAGGGGCTTCTCACACAATGTTTTTCAGCCATCCTCCCCAGTGGTGGCTGGACTATCCGAGTCTGGAAGCCCAGGCGGAGTTGTATTACAGGTCAGAAATGTACAATGGGGGGGGGGGTCCTTGTGTTGCTTTGTTCTGACGTTATCTCTGATCCTCTCATTACTGCTATGCTTGCTAGCCAGCCTGCTGAATTTCTCGTAGACACTGGAGCGTAGTGCTCTGCTGTTAACCTTTTGTTGTTCCACTTCAACCTTCCACAGAAACAGATATAGCTTTTGGAGTGGAAAGCAATCCTATGTCTTATTCACTTTCTCACCCTATCTCTATCTCTCCGGGGCCCTAATGGATGAAAATGTGTTTATGTTGTCTGCAAAACTGCCTGTTAATCTCCTGGGATGAGAAGAAGAAGAGATTGGATTTAAACTCTCTCAGGCTGCAAGCTAGATGCACTCCAAATGACCAGCCTGCACCCCAAAGCCATCAGTGGCCCACCCTACCTTTGCCTGAGCTGCCCCAAACCCACGCAGAGTACACCCGGTTGTGAAGCATATCTTGATGGCCTCATAAACGCCATCCTGGAAGCCTTTCCAACTGAAGTAGATTGGGTTAAAGTTAGAGATTGTAAGAGGAGGGATGATGAGACTCTGTTACAATATTATGACCGCCTTCTCCAATGTTTTCACCAGCATTCTTTCCTCAATCCGGACTGGTATGTATTCCTCCATTTTAGTGGATCACCTTTTAAGAGAGAGCCAGTTTGGTGTAGTGGTTAAGTGTGCGGACTGTAATCTGGGAGAACTGGGTTTGATTCCTCACTCCTCCACTCACAGCTGCTGGATGACCTTGGGCAAGCTATAGTTCTGCCAGACCTATTCTGCCAGACCTATTCTTCAGAGAGCTCTGAGAGAACTGCTCCTGAGAGAACAGCTCTGAAAGAACTTGTGGAGGAGTGGGGAATCAATTCCAGTTCTCCCAGATTAGAGTCCGTGCTCCTAACCACTACACCAAACTGGCTCTCCTACACCAAACTGGCTCTGAGATCTTTGTGTAACTTGCATGCTACCCTGTATTGCACTCCAGATAGGATTTATGACACCCCCATTGATTCGGCTACTAAATTTTTCCTCTCTCTTGAAATGATGCCTAAAAAGGCTCTGGAGGGGATGCCCCCAGAGCTAGCCCAGGCGCCTCCCAAACTCTGGGCTCAGCATTCAAATGATATGGGGCTCCAAAGAGTGCAAACCCAGTACAAATTGGCCAGCAAAGGAACAAGCCTTTCCCCCGAGTTCCCTGATATCCCCTTTCCAGGGCTGCAGAAGGCATCGCCCCTGTCATTGCCTCCCTGTTGGATGAAGGAGTCACAGAACTATGTACCAGTCCTTGCAACACCCCACTTTTGTCGGTTAAGAAGTTCGATGCACAAGGCAATCAAGTTTGGTGGTCTGTTCAAGATTTGCACTCAATTAATTTGCAATTCCCCGTTTTTCCAGTTGTACCCAATCATGCCACAATACTTGCCTCCATTCCCCCAGAAATCTAAGTTTTCCACTGGTGTAGATCTCTGTAATGCGTTCTTTTCTATTAGGATTCATGAAGACTCCAGATTTCTTTTTGCCTTCCCTCATAAGGGACAGCAGTTCCAATGGACATGCTTGCCAATGGGGTTCAATGAAAGCCCTTCTATCTTCTGTCAGGTTTTCAAAGCTGACCTTGACCTTTTTGTTCCACCCCTCGGTTCTGCTATAGTGTATTCCTTTCTTTGCTGCTGTTGCTAAACCCCTTTCTGCTGCTCTGCTTCATGATGACATGCCTGCATTTTCCTCTTACTCTCCTGACATGCTCTGCGCTTTCCATTCCCTCAAAAAAAAAACCCTATGGCTTCTGCTCCTGCCCTAGCCTGTCAGACTTTCTATACCCTTCCTGTTGACCTTTTCTGTCATGAAACGGATGGTTGCCACTGGAGTCTTCTGCCAGCCTCTGGGAAATCAAATGCTGTAGCTTCTGGTGCCCCCCACCCCCATTCTTCTGGATCCTGTGGCTGCTGGCTTCCCTCCCTTGGTTTTCCAGAGTGCCACCCTCACCCAGACCAGCTCTAGTTTTGCATAGAACCACAGAGTTGGAAGGGATCTCCAGGGTCATCTAGTCAAACCCCCTGCACAATGCAGGAAATTCAAGAAATCAAGTAAGGCATTTGCCACTATAGGGTCTTCTGTGGACAAAAGGGTTACCACTTCTGCATTTTTAGTATAAATTCAATACTGTCAGAATCTACTTAGTTCTCCTGAAGGGCCTCACAATATCAGCTGCAAGTTGCTGAACCTTGGCCATGGACAACTGAACTGCAGCCCATTCCTTTAAAATGGCTGTCTGCCCTAACAAACTTTCTCCCTTGGACCTCTCGCAGTTCCATCACCTGATCCACAGAGTTTGTTGCTTGAGTAATGGTCTTGGGTCTTGGCTTGGCCATTTCATCATACAGATCCAGAAGGCAAGAATGAAGGAATTATTCTGCTCCTGTAAGTTCAAACAGTGTCTGGACAACCCATGATGCAATGTTTTTCTACACTCCGAGAATTTTTACGGTTTCTCTCCTGAATGAGTTCTTTGATGGCAAGTAAGTTGTGAACTCTGATGGAAGCTTTTCCCACACTCCAGGCATTTATATGGTTTCTCTCCTGTGTGAACTCTTTGATGGACAGTCAGGTCTCCACTACGCCGGAAACTTTGTCCACACTCTTGGCATTTATATGGTTTCTCCCCTGTGTGAATCCTTTGATGGAATCTAAGGGTTCCAGGCCAACGGAAGCTTTTCCCACACTCCAGGCATTTATCTCTCTTCTCCTCTGTGTGGATTCTCTGATGGAGAGTGAGCTTGCCATTGGAACTGAAACTTTTCCCACACTCCTGGCATTTATATGGTTTCTCACCTGTGTGAGTTCTTTGATGGACAGTAAGGTATCCACTCCGAGTGAAGCTTTGTTCACACTCTTTGCATTTATATGGTTTTTCCCCTGTGTGAATTCTCTGATGGACAGTCAGGACTCCTCTAAGACGGAAACTTTGTCCACACTCTTCGCATTTATATGGTTTTTCCCCTGTGTGAATTCTTTGATGGATAGTAAGGCTTCCACTGCAAGTGAAGCTTTTCCCGCACTCCTGGCATTTATACGGTTTCTCTCCTGTGTGAGTTCTTTGATGGCGTATAAGGCTGTTACTCTGAATGAAGCTTTTCCCACACACCAAGCATTTATATCTTTTCTCCCCTGTGTGAATTCTTTGGTGTGCAGAAAGGTTTGAACTGTGACTGAAGCTTTTTCCACACTCCTGGCATTTATATGGTTTCTCCCCTTTGTGAATTCTTTGATGGACAGTAAGGTATCCACTGCGAGTGAAGCTCTGTCCACACTCCAAGCATTTATATGGTTCCTCCCCTGTGTGAACTCTTTGATGGACAGTCAGGAGTCCTCTAAGACGAAAACTTTGTCCACACTGTTCACATTTGTATGGTTTCTCCCCTGTGTGAATTCTTTGATGGACAGTAAGGCTTCCAGTGCAAGTAAAGCTTTTCCCACACTCCTGGCACTTATACGGTTTCTCTCCTGTGTGAGTTCTTTGATGGAGTGTAAGGCTCTCATTCTGAGTGAAGCTTTTCCCACACACCAGGCATTTATATCTTTTTTCCCCTGTGTGAATTCTTTGGTGCACAGAAAGATTTGCACTGTGACTGAAGCTTTTTCCACACTCCTGGCATTTATATGGTTTCTCCCCTGTGTGAACTCTTTGATGGGCAGTAAGGTATCTACTGCGAGTGAAACTTTGTCCACACTCCAAGCATTTATATGGTTTTCCCCCTGTGTGAATTCTTTGAAGTGAAGGAAGCTTTCTTCTCTGACTACAGCTTTCCCCACACTCCAAAGACTTACCTGTTTTCTCCCCTGTGTGGCTTTTTTGATGGACAGTAAGGTGTGGAGTCTGACTGAACCTTTTTGTACCGTCTGGGCAATTGCATTTTTCCTCTGTGATATGAATGATGTGTTGGGAAGTAAGGTTTTCTGTCTGCTGAAGGGCTTTTCCACATTGCAGGCATTTCAATATTTTCTTTCTGTTATGGTTGTTACAATGAATATTAATGTCTGTTTTTTCTGGAAAACTTTCCTCATTTCCAGTGCACTCATTTCTGTTGGCTTCGTTGTACACTTTTGGATCTTCAAAAGAGACATCACCTTGTAAAAGACAGGCAATATTCCTTGGTGGGTCTTTTCCCTCCTCCTTTCTCTGTGCATTACAATATTCAATGTCCTCTTTTACTACTGGATAGGTATCCTCTTTCTCTGTCACTCTGTGCTCTTTCATTTCATTCGCTGACTCCCACACCTCTCCTGCTGGAAGAAAGCGAAACAGGAATGATTACCATAAAGAGAATCAAGCATAAAACCTCTTGCTTGGCAATGTGGTCCTGTGACATCCAAAATGGTACTGACTGGTCTGTCGTCTGCGGAGACAATCAGAGAATAATATTTCATTAGGATAGCTACTGCCACACGGATCCATCCCCGATATAAACTGCAGGTCAGAGGACCTGCCCCCCCAAACAGCCACCAGCTGGTGAGTTTGCCCTTAGGAAAATTTCCTGATTATCTGCTCTTCGCAGGGCAGTAGGGGATGATGGAATTGTGTTGGTGCTTAAAAGGCAACAGGGATTTCCTGCCTACGATGCTAGACCACCAAGTGTGCCAGAGAGACCCACCCTTCTGGATATTTGTTTGATAGCCTCTTTGGCCTTTTGGGCAGAAGCAGACCTTCTGATTTGGGACTGATTATTGCTTTTTCAGCAAAGTGGAAAATAATTTCATTCTATGGTTTCTGGCTGTCGTACTGAGAATCAAGGTGACTATGGTGATAGACAGAAATTTTCATACAAAGTTCAAAAATTGAGAAAGACAGAAGAGGACCTGAGGGCACATCTTTTGGAAACTGCTTAGCCGTCCTTGTAAACGGTATACTTCTGTGCTATCACAACACATTCTTGAGCCCTAGAGAGAAATGCATTTTAATTTGGTACTTTGGGCTCTACGAAACCTTCACCTTTAGTTTCAGTTTTTCTCTCTCTCTCATAGGGGAGATGAGGCAGGAGGAGGGAAGGCAAGTCAATGGCTCTCCAGCCTTAACCTTCCTTTAGCAGTGCCAATGGTCTCCCTGGCTGGAGAGAATAAAACAGTCAGTTCAGGTCTCTTGCTAGAAACTGACACTTAGCAGGGAAGAGAGATTTGGGAGCTGCAAGATGCTGGAAGGTCTCTTCCCAGAGGTTACAGGAAAGGCTTCTCTGACGGACAGGCGAGTGGGCAAACGGAGATAATAAAAACCCCTGGCAGGGAGGGAGGAAGCTCCCTCTGGCTGACGGCATCAAGGGAGAAGGAGCTCTCCCAGCCAGGCTCCTGCTGAAGGTCACCGTTGCCAGGAACAAAGACTCAAGGACAGCTGTGCCAGAACTATGGCTTGCCCAAGGTCATCCAGCAGCTGCAAGTGGAGGAGTGGGGAATCAAACCCAGTTCTCCCAGATTAGAGTCCACACACTTAACCACTACACCAAAACTGGCTCACTGGATAGCCACTGGTGCCCAGGAGGGCAAGGCAAAGAATGCCCATGGATTAGTGGTGCTATACTGTAACAAACGGGTTAATCACATCAGAAAATACATCTAATTAACAGTGTCCCCTCTATTCCTTGGCCATGCCTGTTTAGTACCTTGAACTTTAGACTCCTGCTGGGATTTTCTGCATGACCGCATGGAAGGGACACGGGTGACAGAGGTTTCCTCCCACCCAACTGAGGTAAAATGACCCATCCCCCCAAGAACCCCCCACTGTCTGGGAACATAACCCACATGTTCTCTACTCTCTTCCAGTATACTCAAAGAGCAGGGGTCCTGCCCCCCCCCCAGTGTCAGCCGCAGCACCTCATTTTTCAGCAATGAATGGAAAATAAATTAAGAATCAAGTTTACTTTCAAAAAATGAGGCCATTTCTGGAAGTGATGGTTCCCTCTCCATTCACTTTGAGCTGCCCCACCAACAGTAACAGTGGTACCCATCAATCTGGCATCACCATTGTAGGGAGAAGAAGGATTAGTTTTATACCCCACCCTTCACTACCCAAAGGAGTCTTGGAGTGGCTTACGATTGCCTTCCCTTCCTCTCCCCACAACAGGCAGTAGGTGAGGTAGGTGGGGCTGAGAGAGCACTGAGAGAGCTGGGACTGACCCATGGTCACTCAGCTGGCTTTACGTGGAGGAGTGGGGAATCAAACCCGGTTCTCCAGATTAGAGTCGGCCACTCAACCACTACACCAAACTGGCTCTCAACACCCCTCCGTCCCACAAGAAGTAGAAGAAGAGATTGGATTTATACCCTGCCCTTCACTCGGAGTCTCAGAGCGGCTTACAAACTCCTTTCCCTTCCCCTCCCCACAACAACCACCATGTGAAGTAGGTGAGGCCGAGAGAGCTCTTTTGACAACTGCTCTTGAGAGAACAGCTCTGACAGAACTATGGCTTGCCCAAGGTCATCCAGCAGCTGCATTTGGAGGAGTGGAGAATCAAACCCAGTTCTCCCAGATTAGACTCCGCACACTTAACCACTACACCAAGCTGGCCAACTGTTCACACAAAGTCCCATGGCAGATCTAAACAGCTAACTGCCAATCCCTCCTTGTCACTGGAGAAAAGGAGATACTGCTTTTCCTCCCCTTCCAGACAGGATATGAGGTCAGGATTAGCAATCTGAGGGCCTGTTTATCAGAAAAAATAAACGGCATTATGATCCTGCTAAATGGACACAAATCCAGCAATTCCAAGCCAGGTTGACCCTGTCCCTCCAGAAACACACCACAAGCAAGTCAGAGGGGTGTCCGGAGTACGCTGTGGGGGCCAAGAATCGTCCACCCGACATATGCAGTTCTCTGCCTGCTCTTTTCCCGGGTCAGAGTGAAATGACAGCTGAGAACTAAGTAGAGCGGCAGAGAAGCCAGCTGGCTTCCCTCCACAGTCACATCTCGGCCACAGGCAAGGGAAGGCCTAGACTGGAGGGAAGCCCCTGCTTTTAGACTTCCCCACCTTCCCCAGACCAAGCCTCTCTTGGCACCTCCTCCGATGCCCTCTCACGTGGTCCGGCCACAGGAGTGCCAGGCAGGGGCCCACATCAGAGGAAGGATCAGGGACTTCCTTGCCGTCCCTCCTCACAGACCAAGAGAAGAGGATCCTCACCTAGAGAGGCCACGTTCCCAAAATTCTCCAGCATGACCTCCTTGTACAGAGCTCTCTGGGCTGGGCGCAGCAGAGCCCACTCTTCCTTGCTGAAATACACAGCCACCTCTTCAAAGGACACCTGGCCCTGGAAGAGAAAGGAGGAACCATCACTGGAACGCTGGTCCATGGGCGGGGGTCTGAAACAAAAACAATACTGGATGACCAGCACAGAGGGGAGGGAAGAGAACCCCATGAGGACATTTGCCTCCCCTCACAGCCCTCCTTGGGGGTAACTCTGGGGCCAGAGGGGCTGTTGTCAGTAAAAGGGGGCTAGCAGCCTTGTGAGGAAAAGGCCACAGCTGTCCATATTGAAAGGACCAAACAGGGTTTTTTTTTTAACGGGAAACTCATGGGTTCAGTGGTGATTTATGGTCCCTGCAGATGGGAGGGAGAGGCATCCCCTTCCCGAAACCATGGAAACAGCAGGAAGAAGCGACAACAAAGACCCAGCTGCCACAAGCAAGGGAGGACGGAAACGAAGGAGAAGGGAGAGACAACCCCCGATGTAGTGTATCCAGCCTGACATGTCCGGACATGCCCGGACTAGCTCAGGCACAAACACCACTAGCTTCATGCCAAAAGACAATGGGCCAGTAGGATCCTAGCCAGGCCCAATGAAAGGGCTAGGTCCACAGCCGGGAGGCCAATAGGTCTCTTGGTTACTGTAAATAGCCTATCGGGAGTGGGGTGTGTGTTGGTAGCGGGTTTTCTGAAGGAATATAAGCTGGCCTGCGAGCCAGCCAAGTGTCTTTGTTCCTGACTAAATAAAGGTATGCTTAGCTGAAATCACTCTTCGTCTGCATACTTTTCACCCGAGATAGATGTTCTCCCGGGGTCAGGCGAAATGCAAGCTGTGGTAGAAAGTGAGCAGAAAGAGGAGCTCCTAAACCCATTGCCTTGCCTCCCACCTCAGGAAGTCGGAGCAGTGAAGAAGAACGAGAGGACATGGAGGCCCCTCCCAGAAGTGATGGAATGCAGAGGTGGGAGCTGGAGAGACGGAGAGCCCTGTAGGCCTCGCTCCTCTGATGGGAATTGAGGCTCTGGATCAGGAAGGAAGAGGTGGGGCTGGCTGGGGAGGAAGATCTCGAGACTCTATGGAAGACTGGGAGGAGGACAGAGAGGTGTGGTGGGAAGGCCCAGCAATAGGGCCCAAGTGGGAGGAAGAGGAGAATAAGTGACGTTCAGCCCCCTCTCTTCCCAGTTCTGAGACCACACACTCCAGCTCTGTGGAGAAATCAAGCCCTGGGGCCCGCCCCGCATGCCAGCTGGAGTCCTCAGGAAGCCAGGTCCTGTTGTTGTTATTCAGTCGCACAGTTGAGTCTGACTCTTCGCGACCCCATGGACCAGCTCCCGCCAGGCCTTCCTGTCTTCCGCTGTCCTCCGAAGTTGGCTCAATTTCATGTTCGTTGCATCGATGACACTGTCTAACCATCTCATCCTTCGCCGT